CGTTAGCCACTTAGGCTCAGTCCCACTCTGCCTGCCCACTGACCCTTGCCCCCTCCCGGCAGAGGCAGCACAGGCCCCTGGTGCGCCGGCGCTGGTCCTGGCCGTGGTGCTGCCCGTGGTGCTCCTGGTTGTGCTGGCAACAGTGCTGGCTGCCTGGGTGCAGTGCCGCCACCCTGCCAAGAGCCCCCCGCCGTGAGTACAGGCCCTGATCTGGGGGTGGGAGGGCCTTTCCATGAGCCTGAATCCAGGGGCATGGCTGGCTCAAGGCATGGGTGCGGGGGTCCTACTCACCCCATCTCTTCCCCCACCCCCCCAGGGAGGTGTCTGGCCAGCGCATCCCCATCTTCAAGGGCAGCCTGGAGTCGGTGCCGGGGGGTGCTGGGGACACGCACCCTCTGGTCCGCTGACACAGCCCCTGGGATGCAGGTGTGCACAGGGGAGTGTGGGCTGGGGGGGGTCCTTTCCCATAATGCTTTGGGGTGGTGGGCTCTTGCCATCCCCCACCCCTTATTCCTGGTTCTCTCCCCAGGAGCCGGTCGCTAGCTGGATGCAGACCCTGCTGGAAGCACAGCTGAGGGGAGGGGGGCTGTAACAGGGGCGGGGGAGGCACCGAAAGCACTGACTGCAATAAAGACACTAAACATGGGACCTCGAGCATCTGTACAGGGCTGGAGGCGGGTGCCGGTGGGAACCTGGGGATCAGAAGTGGGGGACACCAGTGGGGATGGGGGCTGAGGGCCGAAAGAGAGGAGTACCAGCAATGACCTGAGGGTCAGGAGGGGCAGCGGTGGGGATGGGGGCTGCAAGTCAGGAGTAAGGGGCAACAGAAGTGAGGGGCACTAGTGGGGACCTATGGTTCAGGAGTACCCCAGATCCCCGCCCCCCCAAACACACAAACGACCTCCCGGCGGCAGCTGGTGTTAAAAGAATTAATCCAGGGGAATTTATTGAAGTATCAAACGTGGTTAAAAGGCGACATATTTACATATATATTAACTCTCGCTGCGGGGGGGCCATAGCAGGGGCCCCGGGAGCCCTGCCCCCCCCCTATATATTAATTATTATATTTCCCATTTCCTTTAGCGGCATCTCCCCTTTTGCGACACGGACAATAGAAAAGAAGAATCTGGAGACGGGGGTGGGGCAGGCTAGGCATGTGTGTGTGGGATTTGTTCCCTATGGAAGTGGGAGATTTGGGGGGGCGGGGGAGGGGGGGCAACACAGGTTTAATTTCCCCAAGTGCTGAAGCACTGGCCTGGCTCCGAGATGTGACTGGCTCTGGGGTGGACAGCACAGGCCTGGGATGCAGCTGCACCTGGGCTGGGCACAGGGGCTGGTATCACAGGCCTGGGGTGCAGCTTGTTCTGGGATGGGCATCAGGGTTGGTATCACAGGCCTGGGGGGCAGCTGGCTCGGGGGAGGGGGGGTGTTGCAGCTAGTTTCACCGGCCTTGGGATGGGTGTTGGAGTTGGTATTGCAGGCCTCGGATGCGGCTGGCTCTGGGGTGTGCATCGCAGGGCCCCCAAGCTGCAGCTTGCTCTGGGATGTGTGT